GAATTTAAATGGAAAATGTCACTGGTCTCGAAGTAATGGACTATCTTTAGAAATTTCCGTACATTGGCCCTAGGTGGAAAAACAATTTTGCGAAATTTGCTGACAGATAATATTCACGTGACATCCGATAAGAAAAACTATTTCAGCTTGAGCGAAGGTCATCGAAACATTTTGCTACTAATACTCGTCACAAGGTTTTTGGGTTTGACTCCGCTATCTGCCTATTCCGTAGGAGATTTCAAAATAATGCATTATGTATCATGACCTTTCCAAAAGATTTAAAACAGACAGAAAAGTGTCTCTATGACAATAAATCCGGTATTACGTAAATCCAGTTGGCCTTTGTGTGGCGCTCTCTGACCTTATGATTCGGACCTCGCGGACCGCGCACGCGGATAAAATGTTAGGTTAGGTTTACCTCTTCTGTTGCTGGTACTCGTTGAATCCCGAGTACTTGTGGAGTTCTGCCTTAGTAAGACCCTTGTCCAAGCCGACCAACTTGACGAACTCGGATCGATCTTCGTCCCAGATGTAGCACAGTTTCTTGATCCACACGGCTCTACATTCCTGGATGTCTATCCGACAAACGGAATATAACAAGTAGTTGGTTCCTAGTTATTTAAGAACTGGATCAACCCCGCAGTTTATTCAGTGACGAATGAGACGGGTAGTTCAGCGGTTTCCAAAAACGATCTTAACCACTGTCAAAGCCACAGTCAAAAGACCATAGTAAAAACATCGTCCTCGTAGAGAAAAGAGGAATTAGGAAAAGGTGTCATTGTGTTCGGGAGTGCTCGGTTCGAATCCCACCGACAATGTTCGTGATTTTCTTCAGCGCACGCAGGAAAATATCGGGACACTGTACTGAAGCACCCCCGTCCCCCGAATCACCAGTTACAATCATCGTGCAATGTCTCATTCGACGAAACCTTAGCGGTTGATTCAGCGTTTCTAAACAATCGAATGAACAAAGAATGAAGCTAGGTGCGCCCGTTCTTGTGGAATGACAGAGGATAAAGAGGGACGGATCTGTTCTGGATTGCTACGCCGTGTAGTCTGGAAGAAATCATCGGTCTCACGAATGGAGATGGGTTGATTTATACCAAACTTCGCAGCGCAACTTTCCAGAAATGTATTTTTCATAATCTCGGCCGTCTTCGCCGTGACTGACCTTTGGTGGAGCCGTTGTTTAGCTGAGCGCGAACTCCGTCATTGACGTCGGACAGACTCGAGGGCGTCTCAGCCGCCCCGACTGTGCTCAATCTGAAAAAAAATAAAATTAAAGATTTGAGCGAAACACACACGGTCCGAGTTTTCGCCCGTCCTTCGGGGCACGGAATGTCTGTGGGCTCCGTACGTCGCATTTAAATATTGGTGAGAGTGTCTTACGACAACTCCTGTCGAAATAACTACCAGTAGGCAAGTCGTTCTTCTTGACGGATGCATTTACTTGGAGGCCCATTAAGAATTCAAGAACTTAAAATCAGTTTCAGTCGTGCGTTATATAGGATGATGTTTCGCAAAAATTTTGTTTATGTACTTTTAAATTTAAAATTCTCCGAGATGATTTTATGACCGTCTGTCTCAGCGTAAATACTGGGTGTCCTGACTGATGATATCTTCATACAGAAATTAACGCTCGAGACATATTCACCGTCATTTTTAAAGTACGTCGTAGGACTCCCTCCAGAATCTGATCACGTGGTCCCTAAACATTGTACATACATATTACACGAATACATTAATCGCCCTGATGATGGAGACAGCAAGCACCTCTGAAACGTTGGTGGAAATCTACCAGACTACACGGCGCAACAACCCAGAAGACAGAAATCTTCAGACTCACCGCCGTGAAAACCTCAAATCCCACATATACTACACGTTTTACCAGATTGGAATTTCGCGTCTCAGTCTGTAAAGAGGTTTCGCTGTTTGATGGATCGGACGACTTAGCACGGTCCTTCCCAAACCTGGGTAAATTACCCCCCAAAAAATGGGTAAAAGTGGTTTTTCTTTGGGTAACGACGCACTCATTTCTGTGTGACTTGACTGAAATCCCCGATAGTGTTAATGGCTTTACAGCGCAAATGATGGAGCTTAGGTCAAGGAGTCAGTGCAAAATGTTATTTGAATGAAAAAAAGGGCCATTTGGAGTCTTTCACGACGAATATCCTGTGGTAGATGGGGAGGCCGTGATGCAAATATTACAGTTTCCGAGCATCTACATGTGTGAAGTAGGATTTTCCACTCTCGCCTTCAAAACAGCACGAAACGAAAATATTTGCTGAATCCCGAATACGATGCGAGTTGTCCTCTGTCTCCAATTGCTCCCAATTTTGCGGAACTATTAAATAAGACGGAGCAGTGGCGTTGCTCTCATTAGCCGGGACCTGGGTGATGATATATTCATGGTGAATAATTACGCATGGTGAATGATTACCATAGTTTTTGTGGCTGCTAAAATGTTTAGAGATGTTTAAAATAAAGACATTGCATAAAACATATTGTTTACTTCCTTTTTTTTTACCGATCTCTCTCCACTTGTCATGTTTTCTGTGCAGTTAGTGTTTTATCTACGTTGGGTAAAAAGGACTTTCTGAAAAGCGGTTTTGGGTAATGAAGGAAAAGGTTTGAGAAGCAGTGACTTAGAACAACAACAACCCGCTTAAGTGACGGAATTCACGTAATAAATGTCTGCAGGCAACAACAGACCGAGCGTGCTAAAACTGATGCGCTATGAGTACATTTCCTAACTTTTTCTCTTCCGTAGTATTTCCAAGTAGACACTGACGCGTCTATTGCAAAGTTCACCGGCGATTATAACCTTGGGTTAAACGCGGCCGGAGCGTGAACATGAACACTTAAGACTGTGCAGTATCGAAGAAAAGAATACGTGGAGCAGTGCGTTAAGGCCGTCTATCGTTGCTCTCAGCTGACACGTGAATGTGTACTTAAAAAACTGGCACTTCTTGGTTTTAAAGGAACTCACCTCACGGTGTGTGTTGAAATTGTCTTCACCTCCTTTACGAAATACGTCTTGAATCTCCCCATATAATTGTCCTGTGAAACAAAATTATCGAGGGTTATCGTTTCGGAAAGCGAAGTTTACAAAAACTGTCACGGCTTTCTTGATACCTCGATAAGGATCCAAGGCCCCCCTGAAAGTTTCCTTTAAATGTCACAAAGCTGTCGTCATTTACACATGGATGACATCAAATAAATGCAAAAAAATTGTAATTATAACAAACAAAAAATTAATATATAATTTGTGACCAATGAATAAAATTATTGATCCGTTGGACGGAATAATATTTCATGAATTGTACGTAATTGATACAAAGACATTACTTTATAACATTTCCAAACTAAAATAAAATAAAAAAAGGTAAGAACGAATTACGTCACGCGTTTTCAGGGTCATTACGCTGACATTACCTCGAGAAAGGATAAACGTGACTAATGTTAATTATGTATAATGAGCCCTAATTAGCAAGTCTACTGAAACACTACATAAAACGCAATTGAACAGGTGTTAAAACATGTACTCTCATTTGTGTCTGACTCAAAAAGACAACCCACTTTCACGATTTTATACACGCGTTAAATGAACTGAAAATTTCTATATATTTTTTTTGTCTTAAACTTTTATGTGTATTTGGCGATCTGTGCTCTATTAAAAACACGAGTTTTCCACCTTCTAAGTTTCTGGAACGAAGCTCATCCAAAACTTTCAAAACTGCTGTTCGTATCTTGGAGAAAACACATATCTATTGTAATGAATATTCGGTTAATAAATACTGAAAAAACAACTCTTTATTTTGGAAACCACAAAAAATACATGGCCCACAAACGAACATTTGTGACCCTGCTTTAATTTTCAAAAATAGTTCGTGAAATGCACTAAAACGAGCAACTTACCACCACAAGCAGTTTAGTAGCGACATCGAGGGTGCAGGGGGTGTGAGTGGCGTACAGTAGCCACTGGGGGTACCAGTGAAACACAAGGCGAAGCACCCCTAGCGTCAGAATCACACCCGACCACGTGGCAACTGACCGGAAACGACTCCACGTGTACCCGTACACTTCCTGTAACAAAGTACATGCGGTTTTGGGCATTTAGAGTATGTCTCTCGGATGTGATTTGTACCAGAAGAAAAGTAATTCGGTGTTCAACATCTAAACCTTTACCCCGAATATTAAAAATGATATCGCCTTTACATTTGATAATGACTTGTAAGTATCCTGTTTAAACTGGTAAATCTGCTTTGTTATTAAATCACAAAGTGGAATTTCTGAACTAGGCGCAAGTAGTTTGCTAAAATGGTAAAGTTGCGTCTTATTGTGATATAATAAGTAATATTAAATCTTGTCCGTCTAATCACAATAAATTCTTATTAAATATTAAAATATTACAATAATTAACATTTAAAATATTTTAAAATATCAAATGATGTTCTTTATCGAAATATTCGATTTACATTAGACCATCATTTTTCATGTTTCACGACATGTTTCA